ATTTGTATGATAATAATGATATAGAGAATTTAACCAGCATCATCTGAATATAAACACCAAAACATAATATAAGCAATCGTTTATTTTGGATAAGTTTTGGAAATGATACTGATTTCAATAGAAAAAATACTGTTAATATACACTACCGGTCAACAGTTTGAGATTTCAATATTTCATAAGAAACATATCCTGCATTTATTTGATCAAAAAAATACAGTCAAAGTTGTGAAATATTATTAGAATTTATAATACATTTTTAAGTGCTGCATCATTACTCGTTACTAGGGGTGTCAAAATTATTGATATCATAACCGATTATTACGTACTGACGTCATTTATCTTCTATGCGTGATGTTGCAGTAGAATACTATGGTGAAGGAGGCGAGGGCGAGTAAATAACGCTCTTACTACAATGAAGCCGGCACAGCACACGAGCCGCTATTTCATTAGAAATGCTGTAAAACTCCATCTTTACCTCTCACTTTGGATGTTTGACCCGCTGGCCTGTTTGTGAGGTAACTTCCTTTCCTCTTGGCTGTAAAAGCGATACTTGTGGATCCATCCAGACACGAGCGCGCCAGAGGTGCAAGTTTTCTCCACTGTGTCTATTACCTGTGATAACCGCGTATTATATGCATATCGACTGTAACCGCAGCTGTTCTTCCCGCATAACTCATCAGTGAACGGCGCTTACATTTCTAAAGCCGATTGCAGCCCTTTCTGTTAAGCAGGTCAAGACAATAACCAATCATAAGGGTGTAAGACCTCAACTGCCAGCGCTCAAAAAGCAAGCAGGATTATATTTACATTAGTTTATCAGCTATAAATGCTCATGCTGTCTTCTGTGCATGTGTTGGAGTTTTGTTTGATACATTCAGAAAGAGTGTTTTCTTTGAGCAGATTAAGGGATGTAATGTAATGTATTTTTTATTTAGTGCCATGTCAGCAACCAAGGCTATCTTCATGGCAGGAATCTTTCAAAAATAAATATACAATTTAAAAATCAACAAACAAAATAAAACATAAATTAAATAAGATTTTTTTGTGTTAATACATGATAAAAATTCTAAAATCTTTTCTGGTTTCACTTTGTCAAAAATGTCCTTAAAAGAGTTCATTTTATAAAAAGTCCTTCTGGAATCAGTAAAAGCAGGACAGTCCAGTAAAATATGTTGTACAGTAAGAGGAGTTTTGCAGCACAAACACTGAGTAGGGTTTTCACCTTGGAGCAAAAAACCATGTGTAATTCTCGTATGCCCAATACGACATCTGGTTAAAAACTACTTGATCAAATCGATTCTTAAATTGTCTTAAAATTCTGTGTGAAACTTCAGGTTGGATTTCATGTAGTTTATTGTTTTATAATGCATCCCATTCCTTTTGCCACTTGTTTAAAATGTAAGCGTTGATAAAAGGTTTCATCTCTGACGGAGGACTTTGGCATTTGTTCACTACTTGCTTCAAAGCATCTTTAGCAGCTGCATCAGCTCGCTCATTGCCTGAAAGTCCGACATGTCCAGGAACCCAGCAGAAAATGATGTGATAAAACTGATTTTGTAGTTGGTGAACTTTAGTTAAAATATTATCAATCAAAGGATGATCATTCGTTGAAGATTTCATAACTTGGAGGCATGATTTTGTCAGGGTTCTGCCACTCTGATCTTGTAAATTCTTGTTTTGGTGGCAGATTTCTGACACTACTCGTGTCTGGTCCTGTTTCTGTGTCTGTGTGCGCGCGCCGTCGTGGGTGTACGCAGAGTGTGCGCGCTCCTGCTTGACGCGGCCGCGTGCGCGCTCTGCGTCCCTCAGACGCGTGCGCTCTTGTACTCGTGTTTGTGTTTTCGTCTGTCAGCAGCATGGTGTTTCATTCCCAGCGTCTCAGTCTTATTGGTTTCGGTTTTGGTCGGCGCTGGGATGAAGCATGCATGCTGCATATGTGAGCGCATGGTGAGTTTTCATTCATCGTGTGCTCGTGTCTTGCGTCTTTTGTCAAAGCACGTGGCTCGGTGTTTACATTGTGGTCACGTGCTTTTGTCGTGTACTTCAGTGTTGTGTTATGTGAGCGTATGGCTTGTATTGTCTCTCTGTGTCATGCGCTCTCCCGTCTATTGTCTAGTCCCACCCTCCTTGTTAACCCATTATTAGTTTGTCATGTTCACCTGTGTGTCAATTTACTTTTTGCTTTATAATCCCCCTCATGTTTTCAGTCCTTTGCGAGTTCGTCATCATATGTTGTCGATGTTTACCTGTCTTGCTGTGTCCAGTCCTGCCTTGTCGTGCCTGCCCAGTCAAGTTTGTTTGTTTGATTTATTGTTTGTTGTAGTAGTGTTTTCCCCCTCGGGGTTGTTTATTTTTGCCTTTTATTTTATTTTTTAATTAATAAATCCTACTTCACTCTGCGCTTGGGTCCTTGCTCCTTTTTCCCTTTACCGGAACGTGACAGATTTAGAGTCTGTAAAAATGATGGATTTCTTTTGTTGGGCAATTTCTATATACTCCAATGCTAAAAGTAAAGCGCGGGCTTCAGCTGTGATTATGGGTCAAATTAAGGGCACAGTTCATATATCTAACTGCTGTGATAAAGCACAAAATTTTATTACAAATATTATATAAATAAAATATATATTTTAATAAAAAAAATTCATGTGTTGTGAAGAAAAAATCTAATTATGTATGGAAAGCATCGTCAATGCACCGAGACATCGAATTAAATCGAATCGATGGCATGATAATCGTAATGAATCAAACCGTGAGACCAGTGTAGATTCACACCCCTATTCGTTATAATTATAGACCTTTTTCTTGGCTACTGCATGGAGGGCGCCATAGTGACCAGCGTCTTTCGGTAGATTGTTTAGAACTTTCGTTTATATTGTTTACAACCAGTAATTTGCGATCCGAAAATAGGTTTCAATAGCGTTTTGAGTGGATTACGGAGTGTTTTTGTGACGCACAACTTTGAAAGGTGTGTTAAAGCTGTTATAGTCAGATCTGTGGTTCAAGCGCGAGAGAAAAACAGTATCGTAAGCCATGTTTCTTTTCGTTCTGCTTGATCACGTGCCCCAAAAAAAGATATTTAAAATAAACAAAACAATATGATGTCTTTTGACTGCTTTCTTTAATAACTACATTACACAATAGTAGTACTTTTATTTTAAGTACATGAGTAGTACATTTTAGAATAAACTACTTGCAATACTGAAGAAAAAAAATGTTGGATACTTCAGTACTTCCACTTAAGTATAGTGCTTAAAGAGCACTTCAACTTTTACTCAAGTCACTTTTTTGATAGAGCACTTGTACTTTGACTTAAGTCTGGGTCTCTAGTACTTTATACATCTCTGATTATAGGACAATGAAAGTGTTTTTTGACCTTGCATGCAGATCAGTCTGTTGTTGGAGACGCCCAAAACCAAAATATGACCCTTTATAAAGAATAATAGGGGCTCTTTTAAACCACACACACAAAAAAAAGACTTTTAAAACTCACTCAAAACTCTCTGCCTTTCTGTAAAAGTATTGAATATCCTTATTTTTTATTTGTTTGTTTATTCAATTACAATTTCATTTTATTATTTTTTATTCTAAGTTTTCATGTGGGGGTCAGGATTCAAACTATATGAATGATGGACGTCGTCTTATTAAAGGGGTGGTCCAGAGTGCATTTTTAAGGCTTGGTTGTGTTTATGGGGTGCAAAGTAATGTGTGTTTATGTTTCATTTGTAGAAAATCACATTATTTTTTTCATATACCTTACTTTGATTGTATTCAGCTAATTAGCTAACATGAAAATGACTGTCATGTTTCCTAGTTCCTCCAAAAGGCCCGCCATCAAGAGGCTCTGATTGGTTAGCTAACATAATGTGCTGTGATTCGCAGATCAACTCCACATCACCAGGAAGCATCTCTGTTATAAGATTACAGCGCCTCTGGCCATGCCTCTTCACTGCTCCAGGTATATGCGCACTTCATTTGCTGCATTCTGAGGTGTTGTTTATGTTCACACAGCTACATTACAGATGAACTAAAGTTTAAAATATGATATCGTAGTGAACCACCCCTTTAATGTAATTTTCTAGTATGTTTTTGCACTAAAAAACTAAAATGCCTTCAATAAGAATTTTAAAGAGTAATAATTCACAATTGTGCTGTATTTTTGATCAAATGAACAGGCTTCTTGTACAAGCATGACACTGAGCTCTGGCGGTGGTGTGTGTGTACGCTCTGGATTCTGCTCTTACTGCTGGGATCTGCCGCTGGTGTTTTCTGCAGGCTCTGGGACGCTCTGCTCTGGGATGGTTTCTGGGACGAGGCCGCTCAGATCCAGACTGGCTCTGGGACTCAATTGGTCTTCTTCTGTGCTGGTTTCGCTCTCCTGACTAACTAGAGGTGGACGGTGGGGTCTGAAACCAGCAGCCGGATCCTCCACATCCGAGTCTGAGTCCAGAGAGCGCTCCTGAGAGCCTGACGAGCCCACTGAATCACCTGCGCACACACACATGCATGCACGCACACATGTATACACACAAACAGAGAGGGACACACAGATAGACACACATATACAGATGCATACACACAAAACACACACACAAATATATATATATTACTAATAGTTTATTTAAATATATATTATTTAATAGTTATCACTTCTAATATCTGTAATATACACCGTGTGCTGTCTCACCGCACTCCTGATGGGCTCTGATTGGCTCTTCATGAGCTCCAGTCTCACTGTCCTGAATGAAGAAGAGCATGATTAAAGCAGAAACAGCAGAACACTTGCATCCTCACTATCTGTGTTTCCATCCAAAGATGGGAATTAAATTTGTGCTCAAAACTGGAATATTGATTGAAACGTCTGTGAATAAAGCAGCGTTTCCAGTCAATGAGAAACAAAAGAGCACAAAATCATCACTTCCTGTCAACTGAAGCAACTATCAGACAGAAAAATGTAGTTTAGTGCGTTAGTTTTGTGCTGTTTTTTCTTCTCTAATAAATGAGTTGCACCTCAGAAGACGAAAGGCAATGAATGTGGTGAATGTGATAGTTTGTGGAGGCGTGAGGGAGGGCAGACAGATGCTCAAGACAGTTCTGGAGGGAATAATAATAATAAAAGTATCAAGTGAATCTCAGTCAGAGTGACCATCGGGTTATTGATCACCTCCCTGACTAAGGCCCTTCTTCCCCTGATCAATCAGGTTAGATGGCCGGCCAGCTCTAGGAAGAGTCCTGGTGGTTTCAAACATCTTCCACTTATGAATGATGGAGGCCGCTGTGCTCAGTGGAACTTTCAGAGCAGCAGAAATGTTTCTGTAACCTTCCCCAGCCTTGTGCATGGAGACAATCCTGTCTCAGAGGACTACAGACAATTCCTTTGGGCTCTATTTTGACGGTCCATGCGCAAAGCGCAAAACGCAGGGCTCAAACGCTTTCAGGGCGTGTCAGGACGCGTTTTTGCTTATTTAAGTACGGGAAAATGCGCTTTGCGCCAAGGCGTATGGTCTAAAAGGGTTGAGTTTATTTTCTTAATGAGTTATAGGTGTGTTTTAAGAATAAACCAATCAGAGTCTCATCTCCCATTCCCTTTAAGAGTCAGCTGCGTCGTGTCAAGAGCGCATTCGCTATTTACAGGACGCAAAGTAAGTCTAATTGGGAATACTGAGCATTTCACAAGCAAACAGTTAACAGTGTTTTAACAGAAAACTGTTAAACAGAGCATCTACTGCGTGAGAATGAGAGATAATAGATCACTTTCACTTTCGCTCTTGGATAGGGAAACCTTTACACACAGACATCAATTAGTCTATAAATAAATAATTTTGTTTGTTAAGCGCAAATATTCGTTTCAAAACTATTTCTAAATTCAGTTCTAATTTCCAGCAAACGAATAAATGAATAATAATAACAAAATGTGCTCAAAAACCTGAGTTATATCCTAAAACACATGCTGTGCCCCATATGGTCTAAAACCTGACAGGTGGGCAAATCTAAGCTTGTTTTTAATAAAACAAATATAAATATGGATATAATGAATAATACTGCTAATAATAATAACATTATACAAAAGCAAATTGTTATGAATGAACTGAAAAAGCCTCCCGAGATGAAGAAGACATAAAAGCAGTGATTTTTCATATTTATGTAGGCTAGAAAATAATATGTTTTGTAATATTTTAATCCTTTATATTTATATTCTATATCTATTCTCATTTTATCCTATATATATCCTTAATATTTACATTTTTTCATATGTAAAGATATTTGCCTATTGCTCTCTTGTGTGTATTAAGCAGTGTGTAAGCGAGGCGCAACTCTGCGCTGGAGTTTAGACCGGGTTTGTTTTGGTCTAATGAAAAATCTATTATAGTTTCTCAAAATAGCAACGCGCCAGCGGTCCGCCTCAGAACGCCTTCCTTTTTAGACCAGAACGCCTATGGGCGCACATATGAGCACTAATGCATTTGCTATTTAAACAGCGTAGCGCAACGCCTCAAAACGACTCTTGCGCCAAGCTGAAACTACCAAAAGACTACTGCGCCGCGCCTTGCGCCACACTGCGCCGAGTGTATGATAGGGCCCTTTGTCTTCATACTTGGTTTGTGCTTTGGCATGCAATGTCAACCCTGGGCCCTTATATAGACAGGTGTAGCCTTTTCAGATAATGTCCAATGAGCTGAACTGACCACAGGTGAACTCTAATTAAGCTGCTGAAACATCTCAAGAATGATCTTGTGCATGTTGAGCTCATTTTCAGGTTAATTCGGATGTACAAAGAGAATATATGTGGGACTCCGCGTAAGGAGTGTTTCATACATCTGATTTTTTTACTGCGTACGCACATTTACAGCTTTGTCAATGTTTTATTATTCATTTAACACACGTCTTTGTACAAGAGGCCCCTAAAGTTTTCTGATTTTGATTGTAATGCAATAACGTGCACCTTTAGTAAAGCTGCTGAGAAACAATAATTATTGTGAAAAGCGCTGTAGTAATAAACTTGAATTGAACAATCATCAGTGTGGAGTTTGCATGTTCTCCCCGTGTTGGTGTGGGTTTCCTCTGGGTGCTCTGGTTTCCCCAACAGTCCAAAGATATGCGGTACAGGTGAATTTAATGAGCTAAATTGGCCGTAGTGTATGTGAATGAGTGTGTATGGATGTTTCCCAGTGTTAGATTGCGGCTGGAAGGTCGTCCGCTGCGTAAAACATAGGCTGGATAAGTTGGTGGTTCATTCCGTTGTGGCGACCCCGAATTAATAAAGTGACTAAGCCGAAAAGAAACAGAATGAATGACTGAATAATCATCAGACCTGACGCTGAGCAGGAGATTTGGTCGTGCAGATGAAGATGCTCTGCTGGAAGACGATCAGAGCCTCCACGATTCGGGCCTGATGAGGATAATCCACCAGAGACGAGAGGGAAACTGTGGCCCCGGTGGGTTTGGGTCTCATTAGCGTCGGCCCGAACACGATGCCTAAATTACTGGCACTCATTTTATTCTCCTGCTCCAGCTCTGAGACCCTAGAGAGACACAAACGTAACATTGTCATCATTTTACATCAATTAACAACATTCACTGCTCTTTAGACTGATGGGTAATATTTAAGCTTGTGTAGATTTTATGACTTTATGACATTTACACTGCAGATCTTGATTGTAAATTCAGATTTTGTGACTGCATCCAATTTCTTCGATGACCTGCTTATATCATCTTTTAATAGTGACTCGTGTCTGATTATTTGCATTTACACAGCACACGGCAAAGGCACAATGAGCAGGGAAAAAAAAGACTGACAGCTGATAATGATAACTGACAGTGTTTTTGAAGTGTTCCAGTCAGGTTTCAGGGCTCATCACAGTACAGAAACCGCATTAGTGAAAATAACCAACGATTTACTCTTAGCTGCTGACAAAGAATCCCAAAACAAAAAGTTGTTTTACTGTAGTTCAAGACAGAAAGGCCATCTTCTTTTAATCTAGGACTTTTTAAACCAGTTGCCATCTTAAAGTAACGTCCATAGCATGATTTATGCACGTAATGTACTGCAAGACAGTGGGCCTCCCTTTTGACACAACTTATCCATTGGCACCCCCTCCTCCCAAACACGCACGCACGCACACACGCAAACAAACACACACACACACACACACACACACACACACACACGCACACACACACACACATATATATATATATATATATATATATATATATATATATATATATATATATATATAAAGACACAGACAGATGTCAGACTGTTAACTCACTTTTATCATAATTTGCATGAAAGTGCAATTATTTACAGAGTAATAAGTATATTAATATAACGTTTGTAAAGCTAGGATGATGGTTCAATATGAACAGAACAGATCCAAGAACTGTCCATCCCAGTCAAAACAGTCGAAGTTTAGCGGGTCTCATGCTGTCATTAGCCAAAATATCTTGACAAACCACACATAAAGGTCGTGGTTCATCAGCTGGTCCTGTCCACGTAAATCCTAAACTCAAATACTGATCATCATATCGTCCTCTTTTGGGTTTAAGCCCTGAACTTGAAGGCTTTGAATCGGGGGGTCTAAGAAGCCGATCCATTGTATTAGCAGGCATATACCTGTATTGGCGGGCTTGCCAAACAGAAGCGAATTCACAGCTATGGCCTTCTGGTTTTCTTATTTTAGACGTATTATTTTTTTTTTAGCTTTGTTTAATTAAAATGTTTAAATATAGTAAAAAATACATATAATAATTAAACTTAATAATTATATTTTTATCATATAATATTTTTTCCCACGCCTCCCCTGACATGCTCTGGCGCCCCCTAGGGGAGGCGCGCCTCACACTTTGAAAACCCCTGATGTACTGTATGTGTCTGATTAGCTGCTTACACCGCAGACACAAGGACACAGATCCAATTCATAGCAGATACATTTCCACATACGAACAAGGCCTGAATCTGATTTGAGTAAATCGGAATCCATGTGATTTTTTCCTGCTTATATGTACATGGGCCATATCCCATCAGTGCCACATGGGAGAAAAACATCGGAATTGGGTCACTTGAACCATGCAGTGTAAATGCAGCCTATATTATGACTTCAAGTAACTAAGTAATCACTTAAAAGTACTTCCTCTAATTCATACAGAAAATGTATGTAAAGAAAAAAAATCTTTTGAAATCACTGGAAATAAAAGTATAAATATTATGAATAAAAAAATTGATTTTGTTAACAACCAAGCTATTATTATTGATTTATTTTTACCTTTATTTTCATTTGTATGACTTGTTTTCGTTTTTGTTCTGCTAAACTCAAAAATATTTCTTACAAATAACTGTAATACTCAAACTATAAAATATTTATATACAATAATCAATTATTTTGTTTTGCCATTATGTAAATAATTATAAAACATATGACTTAAGGTGGGAAAATATTACACTGAACTTAATTTAAATCACATAATAAATGTATTATATTTTAAGCTTATATTTGTACAAAATTATTGTATATATTTTAAATAATTTAATATGATAAAATAAAAACACTATTTAATTAAGATTACATTTTTTATCAAAATAACTAGAAATACTTATTAATTTAATTATCACTATTTTCATTCATTCACTTTCCTTTGGTTTAGTCCCTTATTTATCAGGGGTTGCAACAGCGAACTGAACCAACAACTATGCCAGCATGTGTTTTACACAGCGGATGCCCTTCCAGCCACAACCCAGTACTAGGAAACACCCATACACACTCACATTCACACACTACGGCCAGTTTAGTTCATCAATTCCCTTTTAGCGCATATGTTTAGACTGTGGGGGAAACTGGAGCACCCGGGGGAAACCCTCACCAACACAGGGAGAAAATGCAAACTCCACACAGAAATGCCAACTGGCCCAGCCGGGACTCGAACCAGCGACCTTCTTGCTGTGAGGCCACAGTGCTAACCATTAAGTCACCGTGCCGGTAATACTATTTTTAATCTAACAATTTTTTATACAATTAAAATATACATTTGCTAAACTTCTAAATGAATACATTGTATTTATTTTTGCTAATTGTATTTGTCTTATATAATATTAATTTGATACATAAATAATACAATGTGTTGATATTTTCCACAGATGAAGAGTCCGACCTGCGCAGGTGCTGAATGATGTACTTTAGCGTGGCGATGTTAGCGTTCGGCAGCCGCTTTAGCACTTCTCTGAGTTTGTCCACCAGTGTCAGCACTTCGGCTTCTGTTTCTGGCCCACGATCCACCAGTTCTGGGCTCTTTACCCCATCAGTGGACTCAGATGCATCCGAATTCAGGCTCTCCTTGGCCAGTCCCATCAGCTCATTATACATCCGGAAGGGCATGATGGGCTCCGGGAGCTGCAGATCACACAGAGAGTAATAATACAAAAATACACCATATTACATACTGCTGAAATCAAAATGAATCTTTTTTCTTTTGTTTGTCAAATAAGTGAGTTTTTCCCTAAATCAAGCAAAATAATCTGCCAATGGGCTAAGCAAAATAATCTTGTTTTTCGATTTGTGATAAGATCATTTTGCTTACCCCATTGGCAGATTATTTTGCTTGATTTAGGGAAAAGCTCACTTCATTTTGGCCTATTATTTTTTAAAACAAAACAATATATTTTGCTTGTCTAGAAAATGCTTCTTGATTTAAGAACTTTTAGATTTTTTACAAAAAATCTAAGTAAGAAAAGCATTTTTCGCAGTGCATATTTTTTCTTCTGGAGAAAGTCTTATTTGTTTTATTCCGGCTAGAATAATAAATAAATAAAAAAAAAATTTAAAAAATTAAAATCAATACTATCAGCCCCCTTAAGCAATATTTTTTTCTCGACAGAACAGAAAAAACCACTACAGAACAAATACTGTTATACACACAAGGATATCTATATATATATTTTATATATTTTATCTATTTTATCTATCTATCTATCTATCTATCTATCTATCTATCTATCTATCTATCTATCTATCTATCTATCTATCTATCTATCTATCTATCTATCTATCTATCTATCTATCTATCTATCTATCTATCTATCTATCTATCCATCCATCCATCCATCCATCCATCCATCCATCCATCCATCCATCCATACATCCATACATACATACACAACCCCAAATCTGAAAAGTTGAAACAGAGTGGAAACAGCGTAGTGCGGGATTATAAACAGCATGTCAGAGGAGTGGGAAAGAGCGTTGTTTTCTCTTTGATCTCGTTTTTCGTGTATTTATGATTTTTGTTGTTTTTGCTTGCTTTCGTTTGCCCACTTTGAGAAATTTTGTGAGGTTTGTCCATTTTTTTTTCAATCGATTTGTATGTTATTTTTTGGCTCCGCTCCTTCCCGACAATATTGAGCTATACCTTCTCAAGTTCACTCTTTTCTCAGAGTAAGGTGGACAGGGAAGTTGTCGTTCGACTTACATTTTGCAAACACATAGAAAATGTATTGTTAAATGCATCAGGTAAGAGGTGAAGGTCATCTTTGTATTTATTTTATTCTACATTTCAGTATAGGGAAGAATGCGGCGCATGGCGCTGAAGAACTTTTTTTTCTTTTCATCAGTTTCTAGCAGGGTAAAGGGTTATTCATGAATTAGAATTGTTTTATTATATTTCTTTCTTTTGTTTGGCTTCACTATCGTCCCATTACTCTTGAGTTGAACTAATTTTTGTTTGATACTTTGTTTGAATTGGCTACTTTATTATATTTTTATAATTGTAAATATTTTTTTGGGCATTACTCCGGTTTCACTTTTGTACATTAAAATCACCTTTTGGTAGTATGGCAGTTCTGTTGTCAGTGTCTTTTGCTTACACCCTCACATTGTGAAATATAATTACCACACTTTTTGAATGTTATAAGTAAGTTTCGTGAAACAGTTACGACAGATAGGCGTGCGCTTTCTCTACGACACAAATTCCATTCCTGTACTCCACTGGAAAACCAAAATGTTGCCACACAGGTGACTTAAATGTGTCTGGGGATCTGCAATCTCAATAATATGTGAAGCAGCCATCCTGCGTACAGTAGAACCGAGTGTGATGCTCACTCAAGTCATATGACATGCACTTGGAAAATACTAACTGTAGAATATACTATTTAGAACAAAAGTTCATCATTACTAATACAATTGAATCAAATGTGATAAAATAAAGATATTTAAATTGGTTTATTTAGTTAGAGACAAGTGACATCAACCTCAACACAATGGGCAGCAGGGGGTGTGAGAATACTGCGGTACGCCACAAGAGTTTCGCGATACGTATCATGGTTTGTGTATCACAATATTTCGGTTCCACTTGTAATATTGTTACACCCCTGATTATTATTATTATTTTTATATATTTTTTTTTCTTTCTTTTTTTCCAGCCAAACTAAAAGAAATAAGACTTTCTCCAGAATAAAAATAGAAAAAAATAGAAAAACACCTTTTTACGCTTCTTGCACAATGAAAAGAAAAATGCTTAAGGGTTAGTTCACCCTAGAAAATTAATTTGATAAAATATATTTTTAAATGTTTTAAAATAACTCAGATTGGATTTGACTAAAAAAAGAAATTCATACACTCTTAAAATGCTAGGTTGCTAAGCCAACAGATGGGCAAAACCAACAGTCAGGTTAATATTTTCCGTTAAATTTAAATCACACTTTTTAAAACACACTTTTTATTTGTCCATAATTGTCTTAACATTTGGGTTACAACAACCCAGCATTTTTTAGACCGTGTAAACCTACAGAAGAGTAAGGGTAAGTCAATCATTGGCTAATTTTTCTTTTTGGATTTTGGATTAGAAAAGTAAAGCAGTCAGTATGTACTACAAGTACTGTATGCAGTGTAACTCTCACCTGTCTCAGATAGAGCTTCAACACATTACTAATGTCGTGTGGAGACGCCTGCGAGAGCTCCACCAGCTCTTTTCCATTCTCAAAGGCCTGACACAACTTCTCCACACGGGTCTTCACTCCATTCACACGGTAGATTCCCTGAACACATGAAAAATAAAGCATTACTCTAATACAGATTACTGCATCACATTTCTGAAGCTTCCAAATCATCACCAAAACCAGAATATGCTGTTGCTCACAATCTACTACCCTTCTGTTGCTGGAGTTTTTGTAAGTTTTACACAATGGGGCTGTTGAATGGAAAAGCACACTGTGTAAATGCCCCCTCATTATTTTTTTCCGTCATACCTTCATTTTGAGCGCTCTCCTCTCGATCTCCGTGATGCATTTCTTGATGATGAAGGGAACAGCGTCCTCTTTACCATGCAGGACTTGAGAGAAATCCCGACCAAAGAGCTGCAAGCGGCCTTGGAGCTTTTTATGCCCACACTGGATGGCCAGAGACTCCAGACACTTCTTATGACACGCTAGAAAACACTAAAACAAACACACACACACATTATTCAGGGATCTTTACACACTGCAGGTTGAGACAGAGCTTTTGCAAGGGTGCTTTGACAGAATTCACACTGTAAAAGCAATACAGAAATAAAGATGAATTGAACTGAACCTAAGGGTGGCCTCAAACTAACAGCTTACCTATGTCAATTCAAACTGTATCATCTCTTTCTTTCAAGTTCATTTATTTATAGAGCAAATTTAAAAGGAGTCACAAGACTTAACAAAGTGCTGTACATAAGACATAGTAAAATAATAATAAGACAGTACATAAAAACTTATAAATAAGGCAGGAGAAATGTCTGTAAACATGTAACAGTAGAAAGGACTATTAAAATAATCTTAAAAAGCCAAGCTAAAAAGGTGCGTTTTAAGAAGTGATTTAAAAATAGATAATGATGGAGCCATTCTAATCTTAAGGGGCAAGGTGTTACACAACCGAGGACTTGCCACAGAGAAAGCTCTGTCCCCTCCACGTTTCAGTCTGGACTGAGGAACTGAAAGAAGATTCTGATCGCTTGACCTAAGAGATCTCACCAGAGTGTAAAAATGAAGCAGCTCTGCGAGATAGGATGGGGCTAGATTATGGAGGGATTTATATACCAGTAAAAGCACATTAAAATCAATTCTGAATTGGACAGGCAGCCAACAAAGACCTCTGAGAAGAGGGGTAATGTGGTCATATTTTCTGTTATTATATTTCTTTGTTAAAATCCAAGCTTAAATCATATTTTTTATCTGAAGTGTTTTATATCAATAAATTTTTGATTGCATATTTAATTATCATGTACATTCTTTTGTTTTTATTGTTTTGAACAGCACTTTGGTCAGCAACTATTGTTTTTAAATGTGCTTTATAACGAACTAACTAACTGACTGACTGACTGACTGACTGACTAACTGACTGACTAACTAACTAACTAACTGACTGACTAACTAACTAACTGACTGACTGACGGACGGACTGACTGACTGACTGACTGACTGACTAACTAACTAACTGACTGACTAACTAACTAACTAACTGACTAACTATCTGACTGACTGACTAACTAACTAACTGACAGACTGACTGACTAACTATCTGACTGACTGACTAACTAACTGACTGACTAACTATCTGACTGACTGACTAACTAACTAACTGACAGACTGACTAACTATCTGACTGACTGACTGACTGACTGTATAACTGACTGACTGACTAACTAACTAACTAACTACCTGACTGACTAACTAACTAACTGACTAACTATCTGACTGACTGACTGACTGACTAACTAACTGACAGACTATCTATCTGACTGACTGACTAACTAACTAACTGACTGACTGACTGACTGACTGACTGACTGACTGACTGACTGACTATCTGACTGACTGACGGACTGACTGACTGACGGACTGACTGACTGACTAACTATCTGACTGACTGACTAACTAACTAACTGACTGACTGACTGACTGACTGGCTGAATGACTGACTGACTGACTAACTCTCTGACTGACAGACTAACAGACTGACTAACTAGCTAACTAACTAACTAACTGACTGA